AATCATGTTTCTTTTGAAAATATAATTCTAATTAAAAAAAAAAACAAATACACATTTTTAACTATTCGCTGATCATACCTTACTCATTGATGTCTGTTTTACTGATCTAAACAACGAAAAATGGTTCATCCATTTTTTTATAAAAAAAAAATTGAAAACAATTAATCATCCTTATTCAGGTCACAATCTATCTACGGCCATCTTTGCCTCTCTTTTGATCCCCTTGCGTTGGTCTCGTAGAAATTGTCCAGCATTTAAAAATAAAAAAATAAAGATTGTTTCAGACAAATTCTTGTTTAAAAGTTATTTAAAGCTCTCTTACCCCTTCGCCTAATCGACTTGGTAAAACAGATTAAAAATAAAATGACTACAAGTGTATTCGGTGGGAAGAAAATATTTCGCAAGTGCTAATACTTGTCCATAAAATAACTCCAACGCAATCTCTATATAAATCCTCGTTGATCTAACCCAAAACCCACAACACAAAGTAAAAGAATTCATAGATACTATAAAAGAGTTCATAGATATATAAGAAAATGAAGATGTCTTACTCTTCTCAAACCCTAATATTCGTGGCTATAGCTCTTGTCCTAGCTTTTGCAGTTCCTCTGAAAGCTCAAGACTCGCAACAAGACTACCTCGATGAACACAACCGGGCTCGTGCCGCGGTTGGCGTGGCTCCACTAAAATGGAATGGGGTATTGGCGGAATACGCTCGACAATATGCTTTGAGCAGGAAAGGAGACTGTCGTCTCGTTCACTCAGGCGGGCCTTACGGTGAAAACTTGGCTTGGAGCAGTGGTGATTTGTCGGGAGCTGACGCAGTGAGATTGTGGGTTAACGAGAAGTCTGACTACTTCTATGACTCGAACTCATGTCGTCCTGGAAAAGTATGTGGTCACTATACTCAGGTTGTGTGGAAAAACACTGAGTGGGTTGGGTGTGCAAAACTCAAGTGTGACAATGGTGGAACCTTCATCATTTGCAGTTATCATCGTCCTGGTAATGTTATTGGTAGTAGGCCTTTCTAAGTGTATATATATGTACGCAAAACGAATAATAAAACTTGTCCATAGAGGACGTACGTACGTGTGTGTGTTTCTATAATTACAATAAATGATCATCATGTATCATGCATGATATGGTGATTCCTTTGTGTGTTTATGATTTGTATGATATGTTTTGTGATGGAATAATACTTTATACTTGTATAATTTGATGTTTTAATAAAAAAAAAGAGATACGTATAAATTGATGCACTGCATGCGAACGTGCATGATCATCTCTGATGTTTTTTTTTTGAAAAAGAGATCATCTCTGATGTTTAATTAACWTTTTTCCGTTTGATTTTCTTTGCGTTATGGAATATATGCGTGCGCCTCTACAAGGAACTAGTATATTCATTTTCTTTTTTAACTTCCTAAAGTC